AATTAATCTCTAAGGGAGTGACACAATAAAAACCTTGTTTTGCTGGCACTATATAGTGGTTAGGTCACCCCCCAACATCTGGTGAACAAATCCTGCTAGTCTGAAGGGGCTAAAACATCGTCAGCCAGTAGCCTTTGTCCAGTGTTGTGCTCCCCCGGTGATGGTGACCTCTCCTCCTCCTGCCAATGTCCGCTACCAATGCACATGCGTGTCTATAGCGTTGTGCATTCGGTAAACAGCCTATAGGAAAGAATTACTCCATGCTTGCCTATGAACGTCCAGCGTCTTCTCAGTCAGTTAGAATTGTGTAAGCTCCTCTTGCGAATGTCTGTGAGACAGCCACTAGAGGCTGGATTAACCCTCAGTGAAACACAGCAGTTTCTATGAAACTATGTTTACACCGAAATGTGTTAAAAATAGTGGGACCTGGCACACAGACCACTCCAAGTCAATGAAGTTGTCAGGGTGCCTGGTCCCTCTAGTTTTAACCCTGCCGCTCCAAACATAGTGTAGGAGAAACTGCTAGCTTTCAATGAGGTTTAATCCAGCCTCTAGTGGCTGTCTCACTGACAGTTGCTGTTTCCTCAATTCTCACAACGCTGGATGTCCATAGGAAAACATGGAGTAATGCGGACGTTGGCAGAAGGAGGAGAGGTTGCCAGCACAGAATGAGCTCGGTGCTGGAGAAAGTCAAGTGTCTGAAGGTGTTTTAACCCCTTCAGCGCATCATGAGTGGGGGCACTGAGGCTGTGTGTGGGGGGGGGGACACTAATGACCCTATAGTGCCAAGAAAACGAGATTTTTTTCCTGTCACTATAGTGCTCTTTTGTTTTTAGTATTCAAATACTACAATTGTTTATGTTTTGTTTTAATTACTTTCTATAGTTTTTGATGCTAAATTTTATATTCATAATTTAATATTTTTTATTCTATACTCCATTGACACTCATTTTTTGTTTGGTTATTTATATGCAATGTTAAATGTTTCCTTTTTTTTTTTTTTTTCACAGTGACTACCGAAAAACTGCCTACAGGTCCTTCACAATGTGGGTGTACGGATACCTGGGACCCAAAAGGCGGCGTCCGATACCCTCGTGCACAGTAAAACTGATTAGGTCACACTTTCCTGCACCAGATGCGATATACATGGGTTTTAGATATGCGGATGATGACCCTATAGCTGTTGAACTTGTATAGTAGACAGTACGAAGCCTTGCAATTGTTTTAGTTTATCAAAATGTGTTAACTATTCAACATTGTCTGTTTGTTGTATATAATGTTTAAAAAATTTAATATGTTAATTTATTTTTATTGTACAATGTAAACTGTTATAAAAATGTTTATTTCTTATATTAATATATTAAAAATGATAAAAAAAATTGAATTTTTTATTATTTTAATGATACTTTCATCTACTAATTTTATTTTATTAAAAAAATAACACAAACAGTAATATATATATATATATAATGTTTTTTTCAAATACTAAAAGTAATTTTACTTCAGTGTGATGGGTAAAATTATTGTCCTTTAAACCAGCTATCACTAATTTCAATAGGGTGTCTACATGAACATAATTATTGAATAAAGTACAAAAATTGTGAAGTAATAAACATTTATTAACAACATTGAAAAAAAAATTTACAACAATAATTTAATGTAATAAATAACAAAATTTTAAAAATAAAATTTGGAACACAAGTTAACTTTTTTTTAAAAGCATCAACATCGCAAAATTAACTTTATTGTTACATTACATGGTTTGAAAATACAAATAATATATATTTTTTTTTTATTAAGTAAAACATTATTCGACAATATCAACTTTGAATTTTTAAAAATATGACAATAATAAATATTTTAAATTAAATAAAATAGTAAATTACAGGCACAATAATAACTTAATTTGCATAAAGTTGTTATGGTTCCTGTAATGTAACATGTTAAATAAAACAAAAACAAATAGTAAGTAAGTGCAACGTCTTGGTTTTGTATAAGAAATTATACAAACTGAACCAAAAATCTAAATTATTTTAAGAAATTAAAATTTGTTCTTCGAATACAAATTACAACTAAATTGCACTATAAACAAGTATTTAGCACCATTAACAGAAATGTTATTTTTATCACCAGTCCAAAAATTTCTTACACAAATTATACATTTTTGAACATTTTAAAGTCTTCTTGGGCGTAAACGCGAAAAGTGACGGTCAACCATTACCTCCTTTGGTGGGCAAGGTGTTGAAGCAATGTTTATTGGAAGTTGCCCTGTTTGAGACTGCCAATTAACTTGTAAGTCACCTGAGGCTATTCGTAGTACGTCAGCCATCATTGGATATTGTCACGTCCTGCTCTGTTCTGTGAAGATGTCTGGCAATGGCTTCTGGTATCCAGTACTCTTGTTACAATTCTTGTTTAGTTTTTCTTGGTTTTTGGTTTTCTATTCTATGTCTGGTTTTCTTTATGCTGGGATTTCTGGGTTCATTCCTATAGTTCGTCCCTGGATTTCCCAGTCTCCAGGTTTCCTTTAAATGTTTGTTTTTATGTTGCCACACCCGTTTGTTTTCCACCATTCCTTTCTGTTTCAGAGTCCTGCAGGCAGCTGCTCAAAGCTTCTGCCCTTTTTTGCAGGTAAGTGCTATATATGTCTATTTAGGATGTTTTAGCATACTTTAGGTAGTGTAGGACCTGCCAGATATGGGGTACATTGGCGTTGTTGGCAGGCTTATGCAATGTATGATCATATAGTGTGACTAAATCCCCATGATTTTCATATGTAGCACTTCGTTATTTCTCCTCTTGTTTTGCCAATGTTATCTTGTCCTGTTTTAGTTTGTATACCCAGCCCATGTACAGTCCTGTCCAGTCATGCCCATGTTATGTTCATGTTTTCCTCATATCTTGTGTATATGTTCTGGGTTTAGTTTCCTATCCTTCTCTGGTTCTGGGTTCTATTAGTTCTGTCTTGTTTTCATGTTTGGTGCCTATCTTTAGTCTTGCCTTGTTTCTAGTACTGGATACAATCCTGCTGCAGAGCCTCCCTATTAAGCTCCTGGGAGGTCTGCTTAATTTCCAAGCTCCTAGTTCCTGTTATCTGCATAGGCTGAATCAGGGTCTTGGTATGTGGCTGCACAAACGCTGGTGCTCAACACCAGGGGGCGTGCGGTTACCCTGCACCAGACCCTGCTAATCCACCTCCACGCTGAAGACTCCCACTTATCATCAGGCATATTGGGTCCCGGTCCACGCGCCGCCGCCTGGACACTGTGTCTGGGTTCCGGGCACCGGACTGCCACCCTGATAGATATATATGGGCAATAGTGGTTTTTTCATATATTTTCTTAATTTTCCAATTTTTACTCCTTTTAGAGAAAAACGGTTTGAACCGCAAGTCCCCAATGTGTCCAGTGCCTGCTTGTTCTTTCTGTATAGTGGCCTGTTCTCTGCCTACATTGGCGTTGTGGGCCAAAACAGCCAGTTGTGTCCTGGCTACCATCCCACCCATCGTGAAATGTACTCTTTTGGGACGGTATTTTAATACCAGGCTATGAAAGACTTCAAGTGATCCCGTGTGGCAAAAATGAACCAAATGTGGAAAGTCTTTCTCTAATTTAGAATCTGTGACAAAGCTTCGAAGTTTGGAGTATGCCACTCCATTTTTTTTCAACCAGGATTTCTGTTCAAGAGTTTGATCATATTCCGCATGTTGACATTTTTTGAAAAGTGTTGCAGAGTCCCATTCATGTTCGTTTATAATGTGATGCATTACCGACAGCCATTTCTCTTTTAACAAAATTGGATTTCCTTTGCTGTATGAACAAGCTGCCCACATGTGATTTATTATCGAATTTTGCCACGGAACCAATTCCTTGTACATCGCTTGGCGACATATGGTTGATAGTTTTAACCGAATGCTCCGACAATAGTGCCATATATCGAATTGGTGATTAATGGCTTTGTATCTCTCTCTCATGATTTTCCTTATGCTTACATGACGATCGGTAACGAGAATTGAAATTAGAATTTTGTCGGCTAGTACTTGGTCCATGCAACTTTTGAATGCCAGTGATTCCATAGCAACAGATGATTTTGCGTCACTCACTTGAATTGTTTGACATTCTATTATTTTTTGCGATTTTTCCTCCAAAAGTGAATACGTGCAGTACTTGGCATTAAATCCAGGGCTGTCACATTGCCCATCTCCTGACAGACATACCATTTTTCCACGTAAACCATCTATCAATAATCTTCTTTCTTTCTTATAATGATGATCGATTATTGGAAATAAAAATTGTTTTTGATATATGTAATGTATGGATTGTGAAATAAACGGCACTCCAAAAATTGCAAAAAGTTCCGCAACTTTAGCAAAGTGCGAACCACTGAACAAAATTGATGCACTTGCTAATAAATTTCCACAAGAACGGTTCCCAATCATAGGCTGGCTGCTCCAAAATTCGCAACGATGATTTGATTCACATACAGTGTATACTTTTAACAGAGTGCCTGATATAATTTTTTCAGTGTTTGTTATTGGAGCGTTACATGGTTCATGAAAAGTACATGTTTGAACCTTTTTGATCAATAAATCGAGAGAAGTTTCAAACACAATAAACTTCTTTTCTGAAACATAATCCTCAGGAGAGGGCTCTGTTAAAAATGTTAGATCGCCAATATCGGTTGTTTCTTCTTCGGGACTGTAAATCGGATCATCGAATTCTGAAACATTCAGAGTTGCATCCATTTCTGATACTCTTGTAATTGAAGAAATGTTTGAGAATGGCGTATCTATGTTTTCTACAGGAACGGACTGTTGTGAATTTGGGGATAACAGTAGTTCTGTCTCCATTGGCATTGCACCTGGCATAGTGCAAACCTTTTTTATAGTATCTGTTTGCTGTACAATTGCAGCGTTTGGTGAATTGTCAATGGATCCTGCAAATTCTTCTGTAGGACCAGTCCAAGTCCAGACATCCTTTGTTGGATTCAAACCAATTATATTGGTGGATACATCTCTTGTTTGAATTACATTGTGGGTTTGTGTAGACCTGCTCCGCCTTCCATAGTATTTTGAAGTTGATACACCTTTGGCAATCATTGTTAAATTTGTGGTGTTGGTAGCTATGTTCATAAATGATTTATCAAAAGCCAGTTTGTAATGGAAACCTGCTATATACTCGTGATCGTAAATAGATGTCTCTGACGGAGCTCCGAGGTCCTCTGACGGAGCTCCGAGGTCCTCTGACGGAGCTCCGAGGTCCTCTGACGGAGCTCCGAGGTCCTCTGACGGAGCTCCGAGGTCCTCTGACGGAGCTCCGAGGTCTTCTGACGGAGCACTGTGTCCCTCTGTTGAAGCACTACGGTCCGCTGACGGAGCACTGAGGTCTAACATTTCTATATCACTACTGTTTTCTGCTCTCCTTAAAGTCATATCGTGTAAAGTTTGTAAAACTTTAGCTTTTACAAAAATAGTTGGTTTTGCCATTAAAACCAATCGTGTTCTCCTTTCAGACTATCATATCTGATGTGAAATGGTCCGAACAAATTTTGAAAATCTCACTTTTTTGTTTTTCCATGATTAATTGAATTGAGCCATCTAGGTTGACTAATTCGTCACCTGTGGCTAAAAGCCATTCTTTAATTCTGTCCGGTGTACTTGGAAAATTAAAGAATCGAGCAATCTGGTGAATGTTTAGTGTGACTGTTTCTGCAGCCTACAACTAAACACTTTGGCATTTTGTCTATGTTTTTAAAACAATAAAAGGGATGACAAAAGAAAATAAGAATAACATGTAGTAGTGTGATTGTTGGCGCCAACACTTCTCTTAAATAATACTGAAATTTTTTTGACATTGTTAATTTTGACAATTAAAACTATAATAATTTTATTAAATTTAGTAAACTCAAAAATGGACGACGAACACATAAATAAACAGGCACTGAAGACTACATATACGTCACGTAATGAAACACCTTTAACAATTGTGAATGTAAAATGTACGATTCACAAAAAAAAATATCACTTGTGTTCTAAATATTTGCACACATTCATGTATTATTATTCGACTGTTAAGAATTACTCTGTAAAACTGAAAACTTAATACAACACCCCCCCTAAAATAAAAAATTTTAAAAAAAATATTAAATATATCTTTAAAAAATTAAAATATGTTAGTTTAATTTATTTGAGATTGTGTTATGTTAATCTTTGCAAATTAAAGGACCACTCTAGGCACCCAGACCACTTCAGCTTAATGAAGTGGTCTGGGTGCCAGTTCCTTCTAGGGTTATCCCAATTTTTTAATAAACATAGCATTTTCATAGAAACTGCTATGTTTGTGAATGGGTTAAGCCTTACCCTATTTCCTCTAGCGGCTGTCTCATTGACAGCCGCTAGAGGCGCTTGCGTGTTTCTCACTGTGATTTTCACAGTGAGAGCACGCCAGCGTCCATAGGAAAGCATTATGAATGTTTTCCTATGTGACCGGCTGAATGCGTGCGCAGATCTTGCCGCGCGTGCGCATCAAGACAACGGGGATGAGAAGAGGAGGATGGGAGGAGGAGAGCTCCCGCCCAGCGCTGGAAAAAGGTACGTTTTAAACAGTTTCCCCTTTCAAGAGCCGGGCGGGAGGTGGACCCTGACATTTACATTTACAAGTAAAGTAAATAGCAATTAGATGACGCTAGACATTCTCACAGATTTTAACGTCAGATAAGTTAACTATAGGAATGCAATCAGAAATTCTTCACTATGGTAGAGGTTTAAAGGACCACTATAGTGCGAGGAAAACATACTCTTTTTCCTTGCACTATAGTGCCAGGAGGGTGCACCGACCATCAGGGTCCCCCTCCTGCCGGGCTATAGGGTCAGGAAGGGGTTAAACTTACCTCTTTATCCAGCACCGGGCGTGAAGCTCTCCTCCTCCTTTTCCCTTCCTACTTCTTCTATTCGTCTTTGGCTGAATTGTTCAGCCACTCCATAAAAAACCATTCACAATCCTTTCCTATGGACGCTGGCGTCACGTAAGCGCCACTAGCGGCTGTCAAGAGACAGCCAATGGAGGATGGATTAATCCATTTATAAACATAGCATTTTATCTGAAACTGCTATTTTAATTAAAAAATTGGTTAACCCTAGATGGACCTGGCACCCAGACCACTTCATTAAGCTGAAGTGGCCTGGGTGCCTAGAGTGCTCATGTAACGCGAATAGCCATAGCTTACAGATATTCAATACATTTACGATTTCTAAATTCTAAATATAAACAATTTTAAAAAGGAAAATGCACAAAATATACATGACACATGTACTAGATGCAGTGTGTTTATACAGGGGAGTTGTGTGTATTTGTGTAGAGTGTATATAATGAATGCATAGCGTGTGTGTGGTGTGTGTGTTTCGGGAGGTATGTAATTAAAGGACCACTCTAGGCACCCAGACCACTTCAGCTTAATAAAGTGGTCTGGGTGCCAGGTCCAGCTAGGGTTAACCCTTTTTTTCATAATTATAGCAGTTTCAGAGAAACTGCTATAATTATGAATGGGTTAAGCCTTTCCCCTAATCCTCTAGTGGCTGTCTCATTGACAGCCACTAGAGGCGCTTGCGTGCTTCTCACTGTGAAAATCACAGTGAGAGCACGCCAGCGTCCATAGGAAAGCATTTTAAATGCTTTCCTATGAGACCGGCTGAATGCGCGCGCAGCTCTTGCCGCGCGTGCGCATTCAGCCGGCGGGGCGTAACGGAGGCGGAGAGGAGGAGGAGAGCTCTCCGCCCAGCGCTGGAAAAAGGTAAGTTTTTACCCCTTTCCCCCTTCCAGAGCCGGGCGGGAAGGGGTCCCTGAGGGTGGGGGCACCCTCAGGGCACTATAGTGCCAGGAAAACGAGTATGTTTTCCTGGCACTATAGTGGTCCTTTAAGGTTTCATTCAGTAAAAATTTTCAATAAACGTTACCACTCAAAAAAATTGCCTACCTTGCTCAAAGTCACGCACAATGCTGATTCTGATGACGCAAGTCAATTCTCTGAAAATAAAAACAAAACAATATTATTTTTAAAAGAAATTAAAATTCATGTTTAAGATTAGTTGGATACATAAACATGATTTTGACTGTGTGCCAGCAGGCGAAAAATGCAGCCCCAAGAAAGGAAAAGTAAAAATCCTGGGCAGCACTTTTCACGTGCTGAGCAACAGTGAAACTGTGGCAATATGGAGAAATGTATTTCTTCAACACAGCCATTTTATGTATGCCCTCCAGGAAAGCACAGGTGAAGAGCCTGCCTTCCTTGCATGCGCTGAAGCGCAAGATGAAGGACAGACCTTTTCCTGCGCTCCAAGGATGACATACTAAAATGGTACATAACGATTGAATACACAATTCAACACTCCCTAACGGGTGGTAAAAAAAAATTGAAAGAAAGAAAGAAAGAAAGATAGCAAGAAAAAAAGTGAGTTTGACTGTGTGCCAGCAGGCGAAAAATGCAGCCCCAAGAAAGGAAAAGTAAAAATCCTGGGCAGCACTTTTCACGTGCTGAGCAACAGTGAAACTGTGGCAATATGGAGAAATGTATTTCTTCAACACAGCCATTTTATGTATGCCCTCCAGGAAAGCACAGGTGAAGAGCCTGTCTGCCTTGCATGCGCTGAAGCGCAAGATTAAGGACAGACCTTTTCCTGCGCTCCAAGGATGGCATACTAAAATGGTACATAACGATTGAATACACAATTCAACACTCCCTAACGGGTGGTAAAAAAAAATTGAAAGAAAGAAAGAAAGATAGCAAGAAAAAAAGTGAGTCTGACTGTGTGCCAGCAGGCGAAAAATGCAGCCCCAAGAAAGGAAAAGTATAAATCCTGGGCAGCACTTTTCACGTGCTGAGCAACAGTGAAACTGTGGCAATATAGAGAAATGTATTTCAGCACCAGAACCTTTTGCATAGATATCTCTTTATCCTATATGTATAAGCATACAATAAGACAAAGAGAGCCAGGCAAACTTTACCCAAAAATATAGACAAATTAAAACTTACCGTAACCACTTTGAATTTTTCACAAATTAAATTGCGCTTTGAACGATTCGTAAATCTGCGTTCTGAAATTGAAAAGAAGAACAATATTATTTTAAAAATTAATTTGTTGTAATTTCTATATATAAAAATATATATATATATATACACACACAATTCTAAGTGTATATATATATATATATATATATATATTAATATATATATATATATATATATACATACATACATACATACACACATATAAATATATATATATACACATACACACGACTGTATGTATGTCTGCAATGTATTGTTTTTGGTGCGACATATGTAAAATAATAAACGAAAACAATGTATGCAGACATACAACTACATATACTAATAAAATCAATAAATACATTGAAAATATCTCCTAAAATATTTTTAAAAATACATATATTAAAAAATACATATATAAAAAAATTATAAAAAAATACATATATTAAAAAAGAAATATATAAAAAAATACATATATTAAAAAATACATATATAAACAAATACATATATACACACATAAAAACAAATATATATAAAATTAAATAGCAAACTGTAAACAAAAATAAAAGTTAAAATAGTAAAATAGATTACATGTCATATGTAAACAAATCTAGATTTTTTAAAATAATACAAACAGATAAAGTTAAGATTCAACAAATGACTAACTAAAATTAAAAAATAAAAACAATACAAAGACATTACATTAATAATAAAATACAAATAGGATAAAAGTTTACTTACAGTCAATGTGCAGCCAGATTCCGTTAGGGGAGATGCTGCTTCTTCTTCTTTACTCCGTGTTCAGTGAGAGATTCTCTCTCACACACTGGCCTCCGAGGAATAAAACTGAGATGTGAATGCGTTCGGCGCGTTCACATCTCAGCATAGTCTCTAATGCAGGCGCACTCACATCTGAGCTGCCTGCATTAGAGGGAATGACGTTAGACGTCCAAGAGGACGTCTGACGTCAGCTCACTGTGATTCTAACAGTGAGGATTCAGGAAGCACCATCTAGTGGCTGTCTCAGAGACAGCCACTGTAGGTGGGAATAGGGAAAAAAAATACACTGCTTTTTCTCTGAAACGGCAGTGTATTTAAAAAAAAACTAAAAACTAGAGGTACCTGGCACCAAGACAACTTCATTGAAATGAAGTTGTCTTGGTGCCTAGAGTGGTCCTTTAAGTCTCAGGCATAAATATTGGCCAGTAGGGATTCCCCTTCTCCGTTGAATTGGATGATGACTTTTCCAATTTTACAGGCTGTTAGTGGCTGTGCTTTTCCTGAACAGATTCGTTTTAATTTTTCCATGTTGATCTGGAGACAGAATCAGATCTAGGAAGGTAAGCGAAGGGGTGCCAATTTTCGCTGTAAATTTTAAATTAAAATCAT